TTAAAAGATGCAAAACTATGGTAAATGTCTACTTATTACAAAACCAAATACTTGTGTACCTTTTTTTTTAGAAACGGCAAATGAATTAACAGAGCCTACACGTACTTTTAAACGTGCACCCTAGGTTCGAGCTCCACAAAGCGGGCAAACCCAGTCCCTGACGAGATTTCCAGGGAAAATTCCCCCACAAGGAGCAATTAAAGAGGATTTATGGAGTTCCAAATATTCAAACATCCAACCTCACCCCACTTGTGTACCTTAATACATAACCATCATAATCTAATATAAAAAGTACATTTCCTAATATAATGGAATTTAAACATCCTCCAACTACTTAATTCAAAGTACTATGCCATAGAAAATAGGGAAAATACCGGTAATAGCAAAAAAAATAAGAGGTATTTTCAAAATTTAGATATGAAAATGGATATTTCCGGATATAGACATGCATTCCGCGGAGGTAGCTCTGCGGAATGGTAAAATCGTAATTAAATCAACGTATTAAAAAAAAAACTCAAGATCCATTCCGCGGAGCTACAGTAGATTCTGCGGAGGTAGTTCCGAGGAATTGATCTTGAGTTTTTTTTTTTTTTTTTTTTTTTTTCGGATCGCTTCTTCGGGGTTTATATTTATTCACCAACTAGTTATCTTCAAGAAAAGATTATGATACTATGATAATATTTTTTTGAAAATAATTAGTTGGTTAATGAATATAAACTTCGAAGAATCGATGCAAAAAAAAAAGGTCCATTCCTCGGAGCTACCTCCGCGGAATGAATCTTGAGTTTTTTTTTTTTTTTTTTTTTTTTTTTTTTTTTTTTTTTCGGATCGCTTCTTCGGGGTTTATATTTATTCATCAATTAATTATTTTCAAGAAAAGATTATGATACTATGATAATATTTTTTGAAAATAATTAGTTGGTTAATGAATATAAACTTCGAAAAATCGATGCCAAAAAAAAAAAAAAAAAAAAAGTCCATTCCTTGGAGCTACCTCCGCGGAATGGATCTTGAGGTTTTTTTTTTTTTTTTTTTTTTTTTTTTTTATGTTGATTTAATTACGATTTTGCCATTTCGCGGAGCTATAGTAGATTCCGCGGAATGCATGTCTATACCCGGAAATGTTCATTTTCATGTTTAAATTTTGAAATTACCCCCTGTTTTTTTACTATTACAGGTATTTTTCCTAGAAAATAACCAGATGAACAAAACATAGTCTAAAACCAAACTACCAAAGAAAATGAAGAGGTGTTTCCTCAAATAAAGGCAACTTGGCAAGGCCCCAATCAAGGGTTGTTTCTTTTGGCTCAATGAGTACTAACGATTGTCTAGATAAAGAAATATACACATACGGTACGTTTTTTAAAGATCCTTTTTTATAGATCAATAAACTATCAGAATAAAATTAAATGACCGTTTTACTATTATCTTTTATTTTTTACAATATTCATCAATTTTAACATGAGAAAAGTTGAGATGAAAAGAGAACATCAAATAGATAATTGTCAATGTCTTGATACATTAAGCTAGGTTTTTTAAACATTCATGTATTGCTATCCACGTTTAAGTGTTTAACCCATTAAGCCAAAAATAAACAATCCCTATGCATAAGTACAACATATAAATGACCTCTAAGAATTAGATATTCTTAAACATAGACACATATGGGGTACAAGAGAACGTCTACTATATCTTGGAGAATTAAGATTAAGAACTAAGAACATGAAGCACAAGAGAGAGACATATAAGAGTTTTTTGTATTAATAAGAGAATTCAATACTTTAGAGCATCCTCTTTGTAGATGACGGAGGAGCCAATTAATGAATTCTTCTTACTTAAAATATGGATAACAACTTTGGTTAAAAGAAAAAACAATTCAATAGCTTACACTTTTATATAGCTTTCAACACTTAACTTCCATTTTTGTTATGTTCATATGCCAAAAGGTAAAACCATGAAAGTAAATTGTTTACCTGTTTGGCCACAATTGAGTATTCATTTGATAATGGCACGGAAATGGCGTGACTGCATATTTAAAATAACCTCCAAATAATATACACTTTAAAAAAGAATAACCACTCAATAAATAAAACTACCGATTTTAAGAATTTCTTCCATTGTACAACAGAACTAACTTACCAAACACTAGAAGCAACAATCATGACTTGTAATAATCAGATAATCACTTTGAAAAGACACAATGAAACAACATTCCTAATACATGAAAACTACTATCAAATGTCATCTTTATCAACCTTTTTATGATCTACATCTTTTGTTTGAGTAGTTAGAGACTGTAAAAGTGCCTTTTGTGAAGGCAATTCAGCAATAAAAAGTAGAGTCTGAGCCCATCCAGCATATCTCCCGTATTTTTCCACAAATGCATCTGCCACACGGCTACAAAGCTTGGGTGTCAATTTTGTTCCAGCCAGCTCAGGGATTAAGTATCTGGTTGCAATCTTTTTTTTTATATAAAAACAAAAAAAAAAAAACACCAATATTTTAGTAATTATGTTTCATGCAATAAACCTTGTTATAAAGAAGACATGAATGAAGCTGGCTGACCTTCCAGACATGTGTATCAACAGGAACAGCATGGTGTTGATCTAAAGAGAACAAAGCAATGCAAGCAGCAACTTTGGGGCCCACACCAGGTAGAGGTAGTAAGGGCTTCAATTGTGTTTTGAAGCTCTAATTCACGAAGAGAAGCCAGCCATGCTTCTCCTCCACCAGGTTTTGATTGCAGTGCTTGCACTGTGCCAGTTATGTACTTGGCCCTGTTTCATCAAAACCAAAATGTATTTTCAATGTAAGGAAATATGCATTCAATGGGAATGGAAGGAAGTCTAACCTGTAGCCAAAACCAGCCTTTCGAAGCTCTTCCTCGGAAACTTTTGACAATTGATCCAGAGAGGGGAATTCATAAAACTCAATCCCTTCGATCACGCCCAGATGATTACCCAATGATGATATGAAATCAACCATTTGGGTTATCCTCTTAATATTGTTATTAGAAGAACAAATAAACTGAATAAGGCACTCAAGTGGGTCTTGCCTGAGCACTCTGGCACCGCTCAAATGCTCCGCCAGTTCAGCAACCGTTGATCGGAAGCAGAAAACTCCTTCCATAAATCACTCAAACAAATACTCATATTAAGGAAATCTAGTAGAGCTGATTTGGCAGCGGTTTGATCGGAGGTGGGGGTGTTGTGAAAAGTATAAGCTACGTCAGTCCCATTTGCATCTTGAAGTTGTATGAGGGAGACAAGGTGGGAGCCAACAACACCTGTGTATTGAAGAGGGGATGTCTGTTTCCACCTGAATGTTTGGCCGGTTGGGAATGTGAGGGGTAAAAAGAGCTCTGATTTGTTCAAATTGAGAGTTACCCGTTTGGGGGTTTTGAGGTCTGAAATAAGGGCTTTTCTAGGTTTCTTGGAAGAGTAGTATGAGGATATGGTGGAATTGGTTGAGGTGATTTTTGAAAGGATGGGTTCTCCGGTAGCCGTGGTTATTGACGGCGGCGACGGGAGGGGTCGTTGTCGCTTCATGTATGTAATCATTCGATGAGTAATTGGGTGATGAAATTTGGTTCGCTGCTTCAAGGGCCTCTACACTGGCTGGCGATTGCAAACACCCTCTTTGATGCCATTGTCGTGTCAATTCCTTAGAGCATTAGGTATGGGTCCGTTGAGGTGGCGTTATAACAACTTATAACACCAAGGGGAAAATGGTGTTCATGGTGTTATGATCATGTTATGAGGAGGTTAAGAGGAGAAAATTAGAGAGAGAAGAAATGTGTAGCCAATCAATGTTCTCGTTTGAATATGTCATAACGCCAACAAGATATGCCAGAACACCAATGGGGAAATGGTGTTTATGGTGTTATAACCATGTTATGAGATGCCACATCAGTAAAAATACCACTTCTCATTGCCTATACTATATGCTCTTATTTTTCAACCCATTTTTCGCCCGTTCTTGAGTGTTAACGAGAAAAATGTAAAAAAATTGGTGTTACTTTTTAATTTACAATAGACAAAGTTGCAAAAACTGTGTATGTGGTATGTATTTTTTGGGGGGTTTTAGTCCAAACCTTGGTTTTTTTTGGGTTCGTGATCCTTTTGAGTTAGTTTCATTGTGAATTTGGTCCCTTCGTAAACTAAAATGACTTTAATACCCTTGGATATTTATTTTTTATTTCTAAATTTATTTTTTTAAAGTTTTAATAGTTATTTATTCATTTTAATAATTAAAGAAATAAAAAGGCTCTCTCTCTCTCTCTCTCTCTCTCTCTCTTGCTTTGCATCAGAACTCAAAAATTCCATATAAAACCCAGGTAGAAGATATTGAATTCAAATTCATTTATGACTTAGAAGTTCTCTGCCTCTCTGTTTCTCGCTCCATGTATTTCACCCCACGAAGGATTTCATGGGCTTCGAATTAGTGAGTTTCAGAAGGCGGTCGGAGATCGTGAAGGCAATCGAACCCCCACAGGATCCGATCAAAACCCTCCTCCCCTAATTCTTCCCTCTTCTCTGTTTATTTTTTTGTATCTAATCTCTTTTCCCTCTTCTTTGATGGATGCTTCCCTCTTCAATGATTTGTGGAATTCGTTGTTGCTGATTGCTCTTCATCTTTAAAGTTATTGTTACAGAGATTTCGAAGTTCGATAACAAAATTATTAGGGTTTTAAACTTTAGGCATCTGTTCTTTTTTCATCCCATCCTTTTCAATTCCATGGTTTTGGACTTTAAGGAAATCACAATTCAATCCATGAAGATTATACATCCCCCGATTTCTCTCCCTTACTTATATCAGGTTCTATTCTTTTTATCCTTCGGAAACCTCTCTAGATCGTTTCTCAACTTGTTTAACATTAGATTATCGATCGAGGAAGTCGATTTGGATCTTTGGACTTTTGTTTCTGAATAAGGCGCAAATTCTTTCTTTCCATAAAGATTGACAGCATATGTGATGTTTGGGTCGGTTTGCTTGACAATATGATTCATGACTTCGAATTCGAGGTTAGGGTGGTCGGATTTGGCAGGTAGATCGATGTTCCTCATCTTTTTCCAAGGTCTAGATTAGTTGGAAATTGGAGCAATAACAAGGTTTGATGGAAGCACAAACAAGCAGGAGATGTAAATACTCTCCTAAATCAATATGTCATCGAATCCCTCTCAGGTCCCCAAATCGATGATTATCATACAACTATCCGGTAATGACTCGGTGGAAAAAATCTAAAAAAGAGGAAAGAAATAAAAGTGTTAAGAAGGAGTGTGGTGGGTTGCTCCAGAAATGAAAATAAGTGTTTGTTCTTGAGTTCTTGAAAACCCAAAAATATTAGGTGGAGAGAGAGAGGGGTTGGGAAGGAGGGAGGGAGAGAGAGAGAGATGCCCATTTATTTTTTAATTTTTTAAATAAATAAATGAATATAAGATTTTAGAAAATAAAAGAAAAATATAAAATAAATACCCCAAGGGCATTATAGTCATTTCAATTTTCCGAGGGACTAAAAATGCAACGAAACTACCTCAAAAGGACCACCAATCCAATAAAGTTATGGTTTTGACTAAAACCCCAAAAAAATGCATCCCACAGGGACTAGTTTTGCAATTTTGTCTTTACAATATGGTTAACTTTTCTTCTACTTCAAACTTGGGAACATATTTTTTTCTTTCTTTCTTTTCTATTCTTAGGTGTTGTTTGTTTTTTCGAATAGAAAATTCATGAAATCTGCGGACTACCTTTGCAATCCTCTATAGCAGATGAGGTGGAACAAACGACTGCAACCTATAATAAGAAGCATGTTTGTTTTTTAACATCTGCAGTAAACTGAAATTTAAATAAACTAATTTTATAAACTGAAAATAGTTCTCAACACCGAAATTTTAATAATTCTACTCTTAAAACATTGAAAAAAAATACTAAAAAGAATGTGTAAAAAAACAAAAATATAAAACTTAAAAAAAAACTTAAAAATATATAAAAGAAACTAAAAGTTATATTCTAGAAAAAAAAAACTAATTTTAAAAAACATAAAAAGGGAAAATAATAATAATAAAAAAAAAGGTATTGCGAACAATGTCTACAAAATTCGCAAAAAATTACATCGTTAAAAAAGAAGCAACTAAAACTGAAAATATTATTAACAGAAACGGTAAAAAAATTAAAAAAATCAAAGTTTTAGTTTTTTTATTATTTTTTATTTTTTATTTTAAATCAAGTAAAAAAAATATGTGGAAACTATAAAGAAATACTGTATCAAATCTGTAAATAAAAGTAAAAAAAAAAAATCAGTGTTTTTTTAAAAAAATAAAAGTTTTCTTAAAAAAAAAAAAGTTATACCAAAATTCTAAAAAAACACTTGGAAAAAATGAATGCTGAAAATGTTTGAAGATGCAAGTCAAGTGTTGCACCACGCAGCATACGCGTAGAGGTTTTGTAGTCTGAAGACTTCAAAAAACAAACTGTTGTGAGAGAGAAAGTGTTGCGCGTGTGCTGAGCCGCGCAGCAAAAAGTGGTTTGAAAAGGTTTAAAAAAACGAACAACACCTTACTTTCTTTTCTCTTCTCTTCTTTTCTCTGTTTAAACCAGGGAACAAGACCTTTATGTCAGGTTGTTTATTAGGCTAGAGGGAGTGGTGGTGTATGATAAGGTATGTTAAAACATGCCACGTACACATTGTAAACAAAAGCCAAAGATAGATGATAAGTGATTAGATAGTCTGTTGTGATTTGTTTTATAGGTCAATATTGATGATATTTAAATATGATGTATATATATATATATATATATATATATATATATATATATATATATATATATATATATATATATATATATATATGAGTACATCATATTTAAATATCATCAATATTTACCTATAAAACATATCACAACCGACTATCTAATCACTTATCCTCTATCTTTGACTTTTGCTTACAATATATATATATATATATATATATATATATATATATATATATATATATATATATATATATATATATATATATATATAAAAGGTATGTTAAAACATGCCACATAAACACTGTAAGCAAAAGCCAAAGATAGAGGATAAGTGATTAGATAGTGAGTTGTGATTTGCTTTATAGATAGATATTGATGATATTTAAACATGTGATTATATGTATATAATAACATATGATTTGAGGTGGTCAAGATTTATTTTTGTCTTCTCGATTCAATAGTTGTGTTCATGTACTTAATCACATGCGATTATACATATAATCACATGATATAAAATTCATGAGAACAACTATTGAATCGACAAAGCGAAAATAAATTGTGTCCACATAAATCATATATGATTAGATTCATATAATCACATGTGATTAAATGTATTTAATCACATATGATTAATTTGGATAATGATTTATTTTCGTGTTCTTGGTTCAATATTTGTTACCATGTAAATAACCATATATGATTGTATGTATATAATCATATATGATTTATATAGACAAGATTCAGTTTTTCCAAATAAAATCATATGTGATTAGAAACATATAATCACATCTAATCAAATGTATTTAGTCACATATGATTAAAGTGGAAAAAAGACAATTATTGAATCGAGAATGCAAAAATGAATCTTAGCCAATTAAAATATGTGATTAGATACACATAATCACATGCTATTATATGTATCTAATCACATATGATTTATGTGGACAATATTCATTTTTATGTTTTTGATTCAATAGTTGTTATCGTGTATTTAATCACATGTGATTATACGTATCTAATCACATATGATTTATGTGAATAAGATTGAAATTCACGTTCTTAATTCAATAGTTGTTATAATGTATTTAATGATGTGTCATTTATATATTTAATCACATACGATTAATATGGACAAAGAACAACTATTGAATCGAAAACACAAAAATGAATCTTGTGCATATAAGTCATATGTGATTAGATCATAAGATCGCATGTGATTTAATACATGAGAAAAATTAACGAATCGAGAACACGAAAATGAATTTTTTCTGCATGTCTCACTAGAAAACAAACTACATTTTGCCTTTCCTTTTTCACTCTACCGGATTAGGGTAACCGTGAATAATAACATAAAACAAATAATGCCTACATAATAGAAGAGTTAGAGGGTGTTTGTTTTTCCTCTGCAGGTCTGCGTGACCTCTTCTGTCTGCGAGGCGCAGATCACGCGCAGACATAATGGTTTGCAGTCCGTTTGTTTTTCTGAAGTGCGCAGACATAAAAACGTCTGCGCGAGGTCTTCACCACACAGATATGAGATAGCCACTTCTAAAGTCTGCAATGCCTTTGCCCTAAAAAAAACGCTTTTTTTTTGGATTCCGCCTCCATTCGTCGTCCAACCTCCCAGCCTCACCCAAAAAAAACCTCGACGCCTCCATCTTGCAGCGAAACGCCGAACATCATCGTCGATTGCAGCCCTCCTCTCCGATCAAAACCGCCGATCGCAGACCTCCTCTCCGATCCAGCGTCCTCCGATTGCAGCAGCGAGCGAACAGCGTCGACTGCGCGAGGTCTGTCACCTCCTCTCTCTCTCTGTCAATTTCAATTTTAATTCAACTTGTTTGATTCTTCAATTTCTTGTTTGGTTCACATCCTTTTTCAATTTCTTGTTTGATTCACATCCTTGTTTCACAGAAAAGCTTGGAGGTGTATAATCTATAATATATTCTTGCTAAAATTGAAAGCTAAATTCCCAGCAAATTGAAAATCTTACCTGTAAACAAATTGGATTTGTAAACAAATTGGATATATATTTTTCTTTGATTGGAAGCCAATATACATAACTGTGAAGCAAAAGATAACATATTATCTTGTTGATTGTGATTGTTTATGTGTATATGATTTTTGATTGTGTATATGTATATGATTTTTGATTGTGTGTATGTATATGATAGTGTATATGTATATGATTGTTGATTGTGATTGTTTATGTGTATATGAGTTTTGATTGTGTGTGTGTGTATATATATATATATGATTATTGATTGTGTATATGTATATGATTGTGTATATGTATATGATAGTGTATATGTATATGATTGTTGATTGTGATTGTTTATGTGTATATGAGTTTTGATTGTGTGTGTGTATATATATATATATGCTTATTGATTGTGTATATGTATATGATAGTGTATATGTATATGATTGTTGATTGTGTATATGTATATGATAGAAAGCATCAAAAAGAGTCATAAGTTTTGTTTATTTGATAGAAGTAAATTGGAAAACTCACTAGCTTTTAGGATGTGTGTTGGTACTAATGATTTTGATTTATAAAGTTTTTTAGAAAACTTTGAATTAAATCACTCTAATTGAGGTTATTTATGATTGAATAAAAAGTTTCACATTATTATGATTGAAAATAAAACAAAATTACAAATTTGTCGTGAAAATAAAAAGTTTACTAAAACAAAATTTATTGAAATAATGTTGTGAAAATAAAACAAAATTACACATTATTATCATTGAAAATAAAACAAAATTACAAACTTACCATTTCAATTCCCTAAATAGGTAGCCCTTTTCGATTTGTGGATGATATAATGCTGTGAAATAATATTTGTCTATGTTATATTGGTTATTAGAAATGGGAGAAAAACAACAATGGACCAATGAGCATTTTAAATGCTTATTGGATACTTGTATTGAAGAAGTAGAGAGTGTTGGTAGAAAAGGATTGAGTTTGCAGAAAGATTCATGGATAAGGCTTGGAAGAGTTCTTAAGGAGAAATTTGGGGTTGAGTTGACTCAAAAACAAATGAAAAACGCATATGACAATCTGAAAGTCAAATACACTGGATGGGTATATTTAAAAAACAAAACCGGTAATATATATAATTCTCAAACAAACACTTTTAATTTAACAGCCGAGGAGTGGGATGATTTTAAGAAGGTACATACACATTAATATACAATATATATATATATATATATATATATATATATATATATATATATATATATATATATATATATATATATATATATAAACATTTACGTTTGAAGTTGCCAAATATTCTTATACTATTTCTTGTTACATTTGGGTTTAGGGGCATCCGAAAGCTGCTTCTTTGAGAGCAATTCCACTGCCTTTTCCAGATCTTTGTGCACGTCTTTTTGATGGAAATAGTGCCACTGGTAATTTTAGGAGTTACTCAACCCAATCATCATCAGTAGCTGGCGCATCCTCCTGTCGTGTTCCACCACTTCAGATCACCGCCACTCCTTTTGATGCAATGGATGATGATGGTGTTGACACTTCTCATCATGAGCCACCACCTTCTGCTGCTTCACCTTCTGCTGCTTCACCATATACTGCTACACCATCCGGTAACCCCAACAAAAGGGCTAAACCCTCAACTCCTGTAGCTCCTAGTGCCTCACTGTCTGCTTCTTCACCTGATGGAACTTCTATTACTGCTGATGATTTAGCATTTGAAATGAAGAAGGCACTACAAAGTTTGACTAAAGGGTATACAATTCCTCAGTGTTTAGAGAAGTTAGAGGTCCTTCAGTTAAGCCCTACAGATCCTTTACGCTTTGTCGCATATCATATTTTTGGAGGAACCATGAACATGATAGAGATGTGGATGCATTTGCCCGATGTTCCCGAGATATTACGAGGGTGGCTTGAGATGATGAGTACCAATTTAGGAGTTTTGAAGGATGGAAAGATTGTTCGATGATTTTCTAGTGTTGAAACTATTTGTTATGTCTTTTTGCTTTGTTGGAACTACTTTGTTAAATGTTTTTGGCGTTGTTGGAACTATTTTGTTAGGTCTTTTTGCCCTTGTTGGAACTATTTTTTGTTATTTTGCTACTTGGACTATGGTTTATGCAATGTTATTTTGGTACTTGAAATATGATTAATGGAATGTTTATTTGATACTTGAAAGATGGTTTATGTAATGTTTTTTTGGTACTTGAAATATGATTAATGGAATGTTTATTTGATACTTGAAATATGGTTTATGTAATGTTTATTTGATACTTGAAAGATGGTTTATGTAATGTTCTTTTGGTACTTGAAATATGATTAATGGAATGTTTATTTGATACTTGAAATATGGTTTATGTAATGTTTTTTAAAGTTCTACTTTGTTGATTTTAGGTTTATATGGATCACGATCAAAAGTTACTTCTCGTAATTCTTATGTACCTATACATCCGTTATTTTTGGAAGAGGGGTGTGAAACGATTGCGGGATAATGATTCGGAAATGACGGGACATGAATACACATTGGAGTTATTACACCGTAATCGTTTACAATGTGTTGAAGTATTACGCATGTCCCGTGAATCTTTCGTACGACTATGTGCTCATTTTAGAGCAAATTACTCATTAAAGGACAGCAAACATGTATCAGTTGAGGAAAAGATGGCTATGTTTTTGATGATGATCGGACATAATCAACGTTACGTGATTATCAAGCGGAGATTTCAACACTCGAAGCAAACAATTCATAAATTTTTTTATGAAGTGTTGGAAAAAATGATGCTTTTCGCACAAGATGTTATAGTACCAACATCTTTTAATCCGAATCCAAACATTCCAGGACATAATAGGAGGCTACGAAGGATTTTCAAAGGAGCAGTTGGTGCACTTGATGGCACTTTGATACATGTTGTTGTCCCTGCTAAGAAACAAGACTTATATAGAAGTAGGGGAAAGGGAGATTGCTACCAAAACGTATTGGCAATTTGTGACTTCAATATGATTTTTACTTTTGTTGTGACCGGGTGGGAAGGGGTAGCGCATGACTCTAGAATATTATTAGAAGCAGTAGCCGATCCACAAGCATCATTCCCGTTTCCACCACCAGGTAAGGTTTTGTTTTTTTTTTAAAAAATATTGTTATCTTAATTTGAAAATTGATTAGTGTTTTGCATTTTTTTCAGACAAATATTATCTTTGTGATGCCGCGTATGCACACACTCGAGGATTTATGGCCCCTTATCGTAATGTGAGGTATTGGCTTGGAGATTTTCGTCAAAGACGTGCATTGACCGATAAAGAAAAATTTAACCATGGACATGCAAAACTTCGGAATGTCATTGAGCGTGCTTTTGGTGTTTTGAAAGCACGCTTCCCTATATTGAAGAGGATGGCACCATTCCCGTTTGTGACACAAAGAAACATCGCCATGGCATGTTTCGCGCTTCATAATTATATAAGAAAAGAAGGATTGAGTGATGAGTATTTCGCACGATACGATGAACCCAATGTCCTGTTTCGAAATAACAATGTGGCCATTGATGATGATGAAGACGGGATTCCAACACATGGTACTACAGCAGACCGTGAATATATGACTCAGTTACGGGATGAAATTGCTGATAAGTTGATGCACAACATAAATTGAATTGTTTTAAAAGAAATTGTTATTGTAAAACAAGTTTTTTTTATTGTATGACTAATTTAGTTGCATGAATTTTATTTTCAATGTGATAAGACTATTATTATTAAAATTTTGGTGTTGAAAAATCATTTTAAGTTTGTAAAATAATTTTATTTAAAATTCAGTTTATTTCAACAGCCTGCAGACATTAAAAAACAAATAGTCTTTTTATTGCAGACTGCAGACGTTTGGTCCACATCTTCTGCTGCAGAGGCTTGCAGATGTGGTCCGCAGACTGCAGACATTTTGGCTTCAGAAAAACAAACAACACCTTAGTGTAACTCACCTCCTTGAAATTGAAAATCAACTAGCATGAGCAATATGGATCATTTCCTTTCCGAGAACCTAAACAAAAATTATAACATTATTTAGCTTGTGCTTTGTTGTATTACTCTTATAAAAGTTATGTATATATTTTGTTATTTTCTCTTTGATTGTATTGCTCTTTTGGGATCTGTTTTCTTACCTTTCAACTTGTTCTTAAATTTCGATAAAATAATATTGGTAAAGTTCCCCATTTTATCTTTTTCATAAATATAAAGATCTCATTCTAATGATTTTTGGTTGATTTTATATTAAATTTACAAGTTAGTAACTTTAAGCTGTCACTTTTTGGACCACTCAATACTCTTGGAATAAACTGTACCAATCTATTCAAAATTACATTAGACCCTTTATATGTGGGAAACTATACATCCATATCTAGCTATAGGCTTTGGAATTTTTGCATTTGGAGTTCTGATGAATTTATTATGATTTTTTTAAAGACAATGCATGAAATCTATGACAACATGGACCAACCTGAGAAGATTGCCAAATTTAGCCTTCAAGGATTTGGAATTTAGAAATGTGATTCAAAGTTTGAAGGAACTAAACATACTAATATTTCCAGAAAACTAAGTCTCATGATTTTTAGGTGATCTTATTGACTTTCACGAATTTTAGAAGTTGGAGGACAGATTTGGGAAAATTGATCATAATAGCTTTTAAATCACTTTTGGTGTTCTATTAAGTACTTAATGGTCAAGCTTTAAGTTTATCACTTTTAACATGATTGTTGGTTACTTATTAGGATATTGAGATGTGAAATTCAATTTAACCTAAGGACCTTTATACTTGGCTTAACGAGGGTTAAAAGTTAAGGATTTTTACATAAAATGCCACTTTTACACTTATTAGGTTCTTTTAGACAATATGATAAACACCTTGCGTGCATGAAATCCTACGGTGATCATCAACTCTCTAATAGACTCCAATCCAGCCCTTAGAGCTTATTATTTTCATTTATCATTGACACCAATAATTAGCATAAACAAGGAATGATTAATGACTATAAATGGAACGATGCCAGATTTCATAATATCATGAATTTGACTCATAATTCGATCAGACCCATCACTTTCCCGACCAAAGTAAAAATCAAACTAGAATGTGCTTTTTAAAAACAACTGAAACTAACCTCAAATTCTATATCGACATCCAATTCGATGGCGAGCATCAAAATTTGCAAATATTTATGCTTCAAATCTCTTGTGTATGAGTTTTTCATGAACACTGGCTTCTGCTTCACTATTCCTCTTCCTCCCTGGTTGTTGATTTGCTATGTCCAATGCCGACATTATGTAGATCTTTGCCATTTACATCTTTGAAATGAAGAAATTGAGGCTCAGTTGGTCAGTTATTTGGTACACCTAATCGATAAACCCTAACCCTAAAATCCAAAGCATGTGATTGTCACTCGAACCATATTGACTTTTCGCTGGAGAGAAGGGACATACGGACATGGTTCTGACAGTGGGAGAAGTAGAGGCGAAGGGTATGTCCGTTGATTCCAGGTTTCACGTCGTTTCCTTGGGCCTGTCTAATTAATAAAGTAAGAGATAAACTTTTAAACTTAATGTGTTGTATTTGGATGACGCGCAGTGTTTTATGAATAAATAAACTAAACTTTTGTTCTCAATTTTTTAAATTTTATCTTTGAACGTGTGTGCATATATATATATATATATATATATATATATATATATATATATATATATATATATATATATATATATATATATATATATATATGTTTAACACAAATTGCTCTGATTAAATACAAGTAAACAATGATACAAAACATAAAAGTGTAGTGGTCAAAGTATAAATTTTGCGTTTTTGCTTATTGGTCCTCTAACTTCACTGTGTATAGAGTTTTGGGTAGAAAAGGAAGATAAATTTTCTCTGCGCAATCTCGTTTTCTTGTGTTTTGGGGAAGATTGATTGGAAACCCTTCTCCCCCCCTCTCTCTATCGTGTTTTCTTGTCCTCTCTCTCCCCATACTTCCACCATTCACGGACCCCACAATTCCTCTAAACCCCTTCTTCTCCCCCTTCCTTCTCTCTTTTCCTTTCTCTCTCTCGCTGCAATAATGCCAGCCTCCTCCTCAGGTACATATACACCCTTTCTATATATACACATATGTATATGTGTGTGTATATACACAATAAAATTGGAACTTCTAAGGTTTCAATTCTTTTTCCATTTTCAATTTGAGCTTTGGGATAACTTCAATTTTGGTTTTGGTTTCGATTTGGATGTGGATTTTGATTTTCTACAGAGACTAGGAACAGGTGGAGGAAACGGAAGCGAGGAGAGCAGTCCCGAAAACCTAGACCGCAACCCCAGCACCAGCACGATGATGACGATGAGGATTATGAAGAAGAAGACGATGTCGACCTCGATCAACAGAATCAACATCCCGAATTTGAGGATGACCACAGTAATTCACCCGATCCTACTGCTGCCACCGGAGCAGTAACTGAGGTCATATCCGATGGCGCCGTTCGAATCTCCACCTTCCCTTCTGTAATCAAACATACGGTAAATCAACACCATTACTCGGTGATTCAGAGTGTTGCCAGGGAGAGAGCTTGCCGAGCTGGAGACAGTAGCAATGGTGGCATGAACTGCGTCTTCTTGGAGAATATTTCTCACGGCCAGCTACAGGCGTTGTCTGCCATGCCTAAGGATGCTCCAGCTTTGACCGGCGGAGACTCAGAAGGGTCCTTTGTAATAACACCTCCTCCCATCATGGAAGGTCGTGGTGTTGTCAAGAGATATGGTTCGGATCGAGTCCATGTTGTACCAATGCACGCAGGTATGTAGAATCACATGTTGTTATCAGGTTTTTGTTAATTGTAGGCACTTTCTTACCTACATGGGTTTGTATCTTCCTCTCATTTCAAGCAGATTGGTTTTCACCAACAACTGTAAACAGATTAGAGAGACAGGCAGTGCCACAT